AGACGCACTAAGTGACTACAGACCAGCAGGGTAAATATTGCTTTCGGCTTGTGTTCGAGAACATTCTGAGCTAAACCGGTAAGAATTTGTTCCAAAAGGTTCTCCATCCGTCCATGGCATATCGCTGATTTTCTTGCCAAATGTGGCAACCCTGCCTTTCCCTTGCCATCTTATGGCAACCCTAAAACTGCTTTTCGGGGAAGTTATCTTATTGCGCCTGTACATTTCGTAACACTGCCCCCTCCCAAAGACTGCACGTCCCAGGCAGTACAATCCTTGGTCAGAAGCCAAATTTGATACAAACAAAACGTTTTAAAACATACAGATAACATAAACAATGAAACAGATATTTACACTATGTACAAGTTACATACACAAATTAAACACATAAACAATTTTAAATTGTACAATTTAAAGTTCAGAAAGAATTTCAGTCTCAGTCTTTTCATTATTTATACCCGGCTCAAATACTTTTCCACTGCAGTTCTCAGATGCATTTATGTTTTTCATGTCAGTCTGAAGATTCAGTTCTTTGAGACTTTTCCATTCCACAGAAAGATCTGAAACAGATTATTCAACACTCTGTAGTTCATTCGCAGCATGCGTACAGTTCACCTCGGTATTTTCAGCATCTGGTACATGTTCATTTTCCAGCGGTTCCTGAAAACCAGCTCCAAATTCTGCATCAGAATCATGAACAGAGCCCGATATTTTACAAACGCAAGTATCCAGGTTTAGAATCAAGATCAAGTCCTTGTCTGCAAAACCTGCACTATGAGGCATATACCCAGTTTGTGAAGTGGATGAATTTTCTTGCCATACTGGAGCGTACTGCTTAAGCTGTACATCAGCTTTTCCCATCTCTGCATCACATGCACTTTCAGATGGTTCAACACCTGTTGCCTGTGACTTCGTAACTTCACTATCAGTTTTGACGAACATAACAGTCACATTTTCATTTTCTTCCACTTCAGGCACTTGAGAATCAAAAGCTTCTTTCCTGGCTTTTATTTCTTCATGTTTTTGTTCTTTTTCTTTAATCTCATTAGATGTTTTCTCTGTCATTTCTTGATCTTTCTCAGGCAATTCATTAGCTACTTTCTTCTTTTCTTCATCCTTTGATTCTTCAGATGCTACTTCTCTCATTTCCACATCATCTTTTATGCCTCCAGTTTCTTCTGTAAGCTCCACTTCCAGCTTTTGGAGTTTCTCTCGCACATTTTCTTGGCTGCCATTTATCTTTTCTCGTCGGCCTTTCTTCTCTTCTAGTCCGGCTTTTATCTCAGCTGTCATCTCTTTATATTCAGCTTTTATCTCTTTATATCCAGCTTTTATCTCATCATATCCGGCTTTTATCTCAGCACATCTGGCCTTTATCTCAGCATATCCGGCTTTCAACTTCTCCTGCCCGGCTTCCATCTTTTCTTGGAATTCAGCAAAGGCAGTCACGAGCTGTCATAATAGATCTTCCATTGGTCTTGTCACTGGCATTCACTTGCAAATCCCACTTCTGACACCAGTTGTTACATAATTTCTAATTCTTCTGACACCAATTGTTGCGTTATTTTATTCCTCCATGTTCGTATGGGGTTCGTGTGGATTTGGAGTGAATAACGACGCCACTTGAAAAGTATTGAAACACACTTATTGGCCAGTTATTGTCAGGACAGTTCAAACATTTTTACAGTCGTCGATGAACTACTATAAACACGCTGACACGATCAGCACACAGCTTCAGGTTTCAGGGCTATCACGGTAGAGACAGCTTCCTGCAAAGCACCCGACTCTGCTTTCCGGAGTACAGCTCCCAATTCTGCTTGATTGTTATCGGAACTCCATGTACTCTCAAGACTCCATGCTACAACTCGTGATACCCTCGACGACACACAGAGCAGGCTCCAGACTCTTCGGTTCAGTTGTTCCCGGAGCTCAACACGCTCTCTTGACGATGCACTAACCGCAATACACTAAGAGACTCCTTCGGTGAACTCAACGACCCACTCGGCACTCACTGCCGTGCTGTCAACTCGATTGTCTCCGCAGGGATTGACACGCTAGACAAGACACCAACTCAGTACTAACTATCTCGCACTTTACGAGGCACTCTCACTCGCCCTCTCCACCAGGCACACACTCTGAAATGCACTAAGTGACTGCGGACCAGCAGGGTATATATAGCTTTCGGCTTGTGTTCGAGAACATTCTGGGCTAAACCGGTAAGAAGGTTCTCCATCCGTCCATGGCATGTTGCCAAATCGGTAATTTCTTGCCAAATGTGGCAACGTTCCCTTGTCATTTTGTGGCAACTCTAAAACTGCTTTGCGAGGAAGCCATCTTACCGCGCCTGTACATTTCGTAGCAATATATGTATATATTTTTTCTACAGCTAAAGAAAAGGAACTTATGTTTGAGTGCTCTTGAAATCGAAAGTTTATTGAAAATTTAATCTAATCTAAGATTGCTTTTTTGACCTAATTATAAATTTTACATTGCTGTTTTTCTCTTCTGATTTGATATAATAGCAGATATTTTAAAAATAACTGTCTAACTTATACTCACATTTATACACATACATTACATGTAAATAAATACAAGATCATTGTCTTAAATTTGATGAAACAGTATCTAAAGAGAATTACTTAAATCTTTCAGAAGAGAGGCAAAGGAGGAACATCTTTTTTATGCTAAATTACTTTAGCAATGATAAATTGCCTAAAATGCTGAGCTAGATTTTTTTTAATAAATTATCAATGTAGTCTTATTTATTTTTACATTTAGAGCATGCAGCAATATGTATATCATTATTTGTGAGTTCTACTTCAAAATCATTCATATCTGATTTATTATTGCTATCAACATTTTTGTAATTACCTTCAAAAATGAATTTTCGTGAAACTTAATTGTGTAGTTTTCCAAAAGCACTCTGCATTATTTTTCTTTTCTTGGCACAGTATTGGTTTAACAGTTTCTTTTGCAGCAATCCAAGCTAGAGATTTTTCATATCATCTTCACAATCATTGCATAGAAGACGTTCGCTGCGAATTTTGCATTCTTCACATTAATAGAATCCTGTCAACATATACTTTTTTTTTTCATTAAAAGCAACTTGTCCTTTGGAAATACATGACCCCTATCTTTCTCATTTCCATGAATTTTATGGCACATTGCTACAATGCAAGAAGACATATTACATGAACAGTACTTTACAACAGCTTACAGTGAACATGGGCCAATGCAGAATTTGAAAGTAATGGATAGGCAGCAATTACAAAAAGAAATAAAAAGAGTTGAAATTTTTTTTTAGAAGTTGGAATTTTTTTTTAACAAACCAAAATTTGTTAATTAAATTAAAAAACTTTTAATACTACATATTTGTAAAGACGTACAAATAAAAATAACGCAAAGAAAAATATCAGATTTATACTTATATTTTGCCTGAAATCTAAAAGTTAGTATCTGCTAGAAATTTCTGTTGGTCACAATTTGAAATTCAAACAGATAGCTAAATATTGAAGTCTGACAGCTAAATAAAATTTTCAGACTGGCATTTATTCAACTAATTGTAATATATTGAACAACTAAATAAGTAATTTTTAATTCAAATTGAAGATAAATATCCGAAAGCTACTCAAAAAGGACAAAACTTGAGAATAAATAATGACAACCTAGTTTCTTTAATAATTAATTATTAGATTTTTCTATAATGCACAACAGAAAAAAAAATATTTTTATGTAAATTATTTTAAATATCTTTGTTTTTTACTACACCACCTCGTCAGGTTTTCTTTTTCATGAAGTTTGTAATCTTGGAGAGAAATTACTAAAAAGTATTATGACGTAGACTTTCAACTAAAAAAAAAAAAAAAAAGTTTATGTAAATGTACTAAAAAACAAAGCGAGTATTTTTATTGCAAGAATTCGTAACTTAAAATATTTATCTTTGGACAAGTATTAATAAAAGTTAAATTCATTTCTTAAAGTCTTTGAATAAGATTTTCTGAAAAGTTACATTTATATTTGGATTGAATATAAGGTAAAACTGGACTCCAAGCCATTAAAATCTTAAACTTTTTCTTCAAATTCTTGTCACAATAATGCTAATTAATTTACAGGAAATATTTTCACAGGCAGCACAAAATTACTTTGAGTTCGGCATTTGGATCCCCAGTTTGACTTTGGCACTGCGTTACTAAAAAACAATATATGTGATTGAAATTAATTTGGGATGTCTTCATTGCTAGTTTTAAACAGAGGAAATCAGAGCAGATGCAGCATAGTGACGTCAGACTACTTCCTGTTAATTCTCCCTACGAGGGTTGCATCAGCAAGGAGTCGCACAAAGGAATGATCTAGCCCTTCTTTTTTATCCTGCATTTTATAGTTCCATTCACTTTAAAAGAGTTGAATGTCAAGTGAAAATTTACTGACAGATTTCTGCCATTTATGGTTATATCACATACTGCCAGAATAATACAAAGTGTTGCCACAAATTCTGAAAAAACTGTAATAGTTTTCATGGTGGGCAAGCAAGCTATCTTGAATATCTCACAACTTTTTAAAACTATCAAAAAAGCATTTCCTGCTAATCGATTTGAGACAATAAAGGATTTACATAAAATATTCCTCCAAACTTCTGGCAAACAGTTCATTGATGACTATGGGGGGATTTGAAAAGTCTTGGCATTTTTCAAACAGCAGGCAGGAAGCTATGATATGATCTAATATGGGAATGCAGAATGCCAAATTTAATAAGTTTTTGAATAACAGTAATATTTGTGTCATTAAATAGCAGCATCCATTCTAATTAATTTTTAATGAAAATGTATAGAAATTTGTTAATTAAAAAGTTTTTGTATGAAATTGACCTTAGTGTCTTTAATTTTTGGATATATTGCATACATGCTTGTTGGAAATTTTAAAATTGTTTATTTTTTATGCTTATATAAATGTAACTTCTTGTACCCATACTCTAATATTATCAGACTAATGTTTATTTTTAGTTGTTCTTTTGTACTTATATGCAGAGATGGTCTTATTCAACCTATGAGGGTTGGGGATGATGGGAAACCACATCCTATAAATCATGTCCTTGAGCTCCAAGAACAAGATAAAAAAATGCCATCACAAGAAGAATCTGACTCTGATTGAAATATATTGAAATGATGAGAAAGTAAAATGACTGTAAAAGATTAAAAATTGTTTTCTTAAAATCATTCTTTGAATTTTATTTTATGTAACATTATCATTCCTATTATTTATTCATTAGATAATGGTCTATTTTTCTTTTTCCCAAATGTATGTGGAATAATCCTGAAATGTGTTAAAAAATTATTTAAAACACAATCTGATGGCTAATAAGTTAAGATTTAATCTATTATTGCTATTTATTTTACTTTTATCTAATCACTAATAATTTTGTTACTTTTTTTTTACTTTTTTATTTATTTTTTATTTTTAAACAATCTGTCTGATTAATTTGGAAGCCTATGTGAAGTTTTCTTGGCTAAAACTGATCCTAAAGTGAATGTGTAATGAAAATGTATTACTGTTTGTCTCAGTGGTGGTAAAGTTGAATATGTGGTGCTCTTTAGATGTGTAATTAATATCTTAGATTAATTGTTACAATGTAGTTAGTTGTTTGTCTTTTTTAAAGTCTAATTGGTTGTGAAATCTAAAATATTCTAAAAGTTTTATAAAGCATTAAAAATTTAAATTTTCAGCATGTTTTGTAAATCTCGTATTTTCAAGAAAATCATTCTTAAAAAATTGTTTAAATTGGTTGAGAATGAAATTCTTTGTGTGAACTGCATTTTTTTATATTTGATTATTTGAAATATCTAATTAAATGTTATTTGTTTCTTTAAAATAATGTATTTAAATTATGTTAAAAATTCTCAATTTACTTTTAGAAAATAATTACAGTTATTGCATTTTTAACAGTTTTGTGATAAATTTTAATAATTTTTCACTTCCTTGTATCTGTATCACTGATGTGCTGTTTTTTCATATGTTTTTAGTTTGTGTCCAATAGGAGAAATTGAATTTTTTTTATTAGTTGTAAAGAAAGTATTTTATAATAGTTGAATTAAATAAATAAAATTCAAATAATATTAGAAAACATATATAGATTCGAAATTAAAAGTGCCTTGGCCTCTTTATAAATTTCCAATGATTAAAATGGGCGTTGGCCATGGCAGGAATATTTTATGGACATTTGTGATAAATCTTCGTTTAAGAGAAATGTCTTCTAAGCCATTAGCGTCAATCAACCTTTAAATTTTAAAAAATGAAGTAGAATTGATTTCACTAACTAATAAAGGAAATGTAAAAGAGAAAAATAGTTTTAATATTAAGAGTAGAAATTATTGTTATATCCAGACTGTATGATAATCATATTCTTCTTTGTCAATCCAAAATTTTTATATTTATCACATTTTCATATCAAAACTGTTTATATATATATATTTTAGTATTATTATTCATTTTAAGACTTCTGTTACTTTAATATCTGATTCTTATAATAAAAATAATGTTTAATGTGTTAAGCATATAGTATGCAATTAATTATAAAATGGTAAACTGGAAACATTTTGTTGTCAAATTTTGTATAAATACAATTACTGTAACGTCTAAAATCAGATATGTATTGCAAATTTCTGGATTCTTTCTGAGTAATGTATCTTATAAAGCAGTCTTATACTTCAGAAATTGTAATTACATTCATTTATTTACATTTTGATTGACATTAAATTGAAACAATTCCTTGATTTAAAATCATGCAAATTAAACGATATAAACCAAAAAGATAATATTGACTTTTTTAATCATAATTTTTATTCTCTATTTCATTTTATAATTTTAAAGAATCATAGCTTATAGTACCAATAGATTTTAAAATTTGAAAAGGCTTATGTAATTTTTTAAAGATACATTAGTCGTGTCATTATCCTGGCCTTTTATTATACTTTTACTTTTCAAGTAGTGCCATTTTGCTATGCATAATTTTAAATTTTAAGTAACACTTGATCTACTTACAATATTAAGAATTTTAATTAACAAGATTCAATGACCATTTTGTCTCTTTTGAAGGATTATCATATGTGACATTTTCTAAACTTATTTATTCATCATGATTCTTGGTAGTGTTTGTTTGTAAAGAGCAATACTATTACATAATGAGCTTTCAGTCTGACCTATTTTCAGCACATACAGTTGTATATATCAAAAGTTATGCTTTTTCGAAGTTATTTAAACTACTTTGGAATAAATCTTAACAGCAATAAAATAATCTGTCTCTTTCTTGATAATACTGATTTACGCTGAAGTTTATGAAAATAAAGTATGTTAGTTTTTAATGGGATAGAACAATATTAAATGTGAATGTTTGTTGTATGAATTTTATATTTGTTTAATTATACAGTTTTTTCTTTAAAATTTTTAAGAATGTTCTTAAAATTTTTAAGAATGTTCAGTTAAATGTTTGTGTACATTGATTTACTTAATGGAAACAACAGGGTGCATCATTTTATATAACAGAAATCAGTTATCAGTATTATGTTTATTTTGTAAGATTGCATTTAGATAAGACATCGGGATATATTTTTTAATATTTTTTTTTAAACAGTGATAGATTTGGTATAATGTATATTAATGTACTTTTTAAAAGAAATTGAATTTTTTGGCCACCGAATATATTTCAACACTGCAAAACTATTTTGATGTCTAAGAAGTTCTTAGGTTTTAAAATATTTGTTTGTTCATCAGTTTTATTTTTTGGCTGCTGTTTTTACCCTGCAGGTAGGAGTAAATATGTAGGCAAAGTTTATTCTTTATATATGAGTATGTTTGTATGCACAAATAAGTGGTTTTAATCCCTACAGTTTGCAGTTTGGTTCAATATTTCAGCAAAATGAAATACAGTATTTATTTTAATCTGTATTTTAAAATATATTGCATATAGTCTATCTTGAGTTTGAAACACCAGTTATTTATTTCATGAGATATTTCCTGTATCAGGACATTCATTTAATATGAACTGATATCATTAAATGGTCATTAAGATTCTCCACAGCTATTGACTTATCAACATTTTTGTGTAATTCATTCATATACTTAATATAATAAAATAGAGTACTCAAATAGCCTTGTAATGTGTATTAAATTACTGCAAAAGAATATCATTCATCCTTTTTATATGTTCTGTGTAGTGAAAACTCTGTATGGTTTTTGAAACGAGTATATGCATTTGTATCTATCATGGCAGCTGCTTATATATACATATATATATGTTTCTGAAATGAGTTACAGTTCACTGTTTGAAATATGTTAATAGCACTGTATGCAAAATTTGCTGTTGTGCACTAATTAAATGATTGATTTTAATAATGTTTGCTTTTGTTGCATTTATATCTGTCAATAAGTAAGTTGGTGAGTGGCTTTATAGTGAGTGCTTCTCCAACAAAACCGTCTAAAAATTATCAAATGATTTCTTTTAACTCTTGGAAAGAACTGCAATTTCAAAACTTTTTCTTTTTAAACAAATGGGTAATAAAATTTTCTCAGACTTAATTTTATTACTGCATTTTTTTCTTTATCAAAATGTTTGCATATACAGGCAATTTAGGTTAATGGTATATGTGAGAAGTATATTAAGTGGCTGCTCCTGTTATTTGAAATTAAAATTTTAAAATTTAAGACTTCAGAATTTAAAATTTAATCTAATTTTATACATAACTATGAAATGTTTATTAAAATAAATTTTACCATATGAATGAGTATGCATTTATCCTTTTTTAGTTACTTCCTCATTTTTTTTTCTACTTTGCTACACTATTCAGGTATTATTTTTTTCTTTTTGATTGCGTCCTTGTTCATAAACTTCTTTAATCTATCTCTCTTAATGTAAAATAATAATTGTTTTGGAATATTTTTGTTGTATGTTTACATGACAGAAAGACACGTACTTGTTAACATTCTCTTGAAGCTTTACTGCTATAAAGATATATAAAAAGTAGTTATTCTGCCTTATGATTTTGATTAACTGTAAAATAATATTAGCAAAAATATAAAATGGAAAAAGTGAACTGCTTTATTGCCATTTTTCATGAAGTATTTATTGTTTTGAAAACTCGTATAGCTTTCAGACATCTTTTGAAATCACTTGTTCATTTAAAGTCTTACATGTTTATATTAAATATTAGGAATTTTGACTATTATTCATTAGCTGGTGAGCTTTAATATTATACAGGCAGATGTTACAAACAAATATGATGAAAAACCATTACTTGTTATCTGTTTATTATATAACATGCAGTGGAGAAAATCAGTCATTTTATATCTAAATATTTAAACTTAAAGACAGTTGTAATCCAGTTGGCTTTTGGAATTTTGCCATTATGAATCTTCTTGGAGAAACTGTTATTTAAAATCGAATAAAGCCTTTTGGCATTTACTTGTACTATATTAAATTCATTGAAATGGTAGCATACTTTGCTTGCGCAATGGAAGAAAAAAATCCGCAATTTAATATTTCTTTGGAGCATCTTTAGCTGAAACTGCAGGACAAAGTTTCAGAGTTTGAATGCTTATTTTTGGACTAGAGTTGCATCAACAATTCTCCAAAATTTATTTTCTGTAAAGGGAAGGTCACATCATTGAGTCTTTGTTGGATCTTTCTGTAGTGTCTCACATATCCTTAATTAAGTTGATGTTAGCTCTATGTGATAGGGTAGTCCTGGTTTTTCTTGAGCCACACTTTGAACTCATTGAGTACTGCCTAATCACCCTAAAATTCATCATTAGTTTAAAGGAGAGGATTTAATGATGAATGAGATGATCATTGAACATTTTAAGGACTCGCATTTTATTTTATTTCTGCATAGTGCTACTGTGGCTACTCCAACTTAACAGAAAGCACCATAGATTATGACATTTGTTTCTGAAGCTTGTACAGTGGATTCAGTATACAAAGGATCCAGTCTAACACTAATGCGTCCATCATGTTTGATGAGTATGAATCTAGATTCATCAGATTACATAATGTTTTCATATAATGTGAACGAATTGTTTGCATTTTCAGTTTTTATGTTCTTTCCTAAATTTGAGTCTTTTCATTTGATTCATCTTGCTAAAAAGTAGTTTTCTTATTTTTTGTCACAAGACGGTTGTTAAATCTCACTCCTGTAAATTTTCATCTCATTGTGTAAATAGAAATTATCACTTTTCATACTGAACATTCTGGTAACTTTATGAGTAGAATTTTTGCTGCTTAATTTCAGTAATTGATTGAGCGAAATTCAATCATGAAAAATCATTTAGCAGTAAGTTTTGACTACATATTTATTGTTTATGATTGTTTTTCTGCCCCCTTTTTAAGACTTGATAATATTTTGAATAGTTTTGCTGTTTCTAAAGCTAGCCTATAGTTTGATCTTTTCTGAAGTCTGGCATCTTTTCCAATGATCCTGTTGGTATCTTTTCCAATGATCCTGTGAAATGTATTAGTCATGATTTTTCTAAATGACAAGGTGCACATTGAGTCTGCATTATTTGAAGATTGCATTGATCATAAAATTATGGAAGTTTTTCAAAATATTTAACTGTTTACTTTCTGCTCAATATTTGGATGTCCAAATTTATGCCTAGACTATTTTAGTGCCAGACATTAATGCTGTTTTGGGGTGAGTGGAATGTCATGGCCTTCTTAGATGCCTAGATTGTTTCCATTTAGGTAATTTGGTCCATTTTTCCATTTTCTGCATATAACAGTGGGTTGGAATCCACTGTAGTGTTATCTTGCCAGCCATATTTTTTTTAAAAATTACACTGCACTCGTGCTTAGTATTTCAAATTTATACTATTTGTTATTGGCTGATGGTTTGACAGTTACCGGGAATTGGAAAGAATCTCTGCATTTCCATTTTTTTTAAACAAATTGTGTGTTTGCTTTTGAGTGTATCTGTTATGGATTGGTTTTGTGCATGGTCTCAAATAACAAGAGAAACTATTGCTAATCTTTGGTTAAGATTTTGTAAAGATTTTTCCTAAACCAATGATTAGTCCAGTTGATCAGAATCAACCACAAATGTATATTCATTCAGTGTTTAGAGAACTGTAGGTGAAACTTGCAATATCATTAACTTTCATTCTTTGTAGACATTTAATTATGCATATAATGGTAAGTTATGTTAATTTTTAACTAAGAATTGCAAAGGTTTTAAGTAGCAAAGCCATAAAAATATACTTCTAAATCAATCAATATTGGACATCCGAATTTCAGACTTTTTACTATATTCTGTTGGTGTATTTTGTGGAATTACTAAATTTAACAGAGGTTAAATATATGTTAAGTTTATAGCATTTTGTATTATTTGCACTTTTAAATTGTAAGAGATATATTCTTTACGTAAACTTCTATGGTTACTTTGGTTTACTGTGATTTTTGTATGCTAGTGTTTGTTCCATCAGGAAAAGTGATTTTTTAAAGAAGAAATGTGCTTTCTGTAATTGTTAAATGTATTAAATGCATGTGTAATGTGTGTATATATATATATTGAATTATATGCATTAATTACATTTCCCATATACAAGAGTATTAACTATAAACATTTTTAAATGTTTTAAAAGATGATTATATTTAATATTCTCAGTTTTGTATAACACACATTTTTAATAGTATAGAGAAAATTACTCTTTTTTAAAATAAAATTGTACATTTGAAGGTTATTTCTAAAAAAGTATCGAGTATACATGTGTAAATTTATTATCTTATCTTATAAACTGTGAAACTAGAATGTGTTTTTCTTTTACTTAAGAATTTGATACCAATTTTGTTTTTAACGTCCATGTATTTGTAATGTTTTTTTTATTGTACTACACATAATTGTCTGAAAATAGGTGTCATAAATGCTTCAAATCAGTTTTTATAAATATTTTTATTATAATATTAAAAATATTTATAAAATTTATAATTTTAAGAATTGATTTTTAGCATTTTAAACTAAAGCAGTAGTATATTATACTTCTTGTATTCTCACAGTGTTAGTGCAATCTCTTGTTGATTGGAAGTGTATTTTTTGTATATGCGAATGAATTATCATATTGAGAAAGCATAGTTTAAAGCATGGTTTCTTAAACTTTTTTCAATCGTGACCCCTTTTTATCACTGAGATTTTTTCGCGACCCCCCAGGACCCCATAATATTTACAAAAATTGTATGGGACCCCATAAGTATTGCGCAAATGCGGCACACGCATGAGTGAAACTGTCAATTTTTTCACTTGTATACTATTGCAGTTTTAGGTCATTAACATAACATAACATAACATTAGTGGCACTTCCTTCTTATGAAAGCGCCACTAATGTTATGCATGAAAAGAAGAAAAAGAACTTAGGCAATGTTGCCCATTGCTCTTCCACCATTTGATCATTTAAGTCAAAGGTTTTAAATGGTAACTCCTGTTAAAGGTAAATAATAAATAAGTAGATAAGATTCCAAACTGACACCAAATATATAGTATCAACAAAAGATCCCATCTCTAATTTCAGGGTGTCGGTTAAATCGTTAAAACTTTCCAATTGGATGAAGAGCCAATTCAATCCCTCCCAAACCACCAAACGCAAACTCTTGACCAAACAAGGGTGTGATGGCGAGTCTAAAAACAAAATAAATATCTAAATAAATTAAATAAGGAGGGCAGAGGTACTTTCTTAAGTGAAATGGCCAGGTGGTGTATAAAGATTTGATATCTATTTCCAAATTATATTCCAAAATGCAGCTATGACAGGGAGATCCCTGCATAGTTTCTTTTACAAAAAAAAAAAAAAAAAAAAAAAAAGGGGGGGGGAACTTGCAGGGCATCTCACTGCTTGTTTTTTATGGTTTCAAATTCACCTTACCTGTAGATGTTTAGTATACATCAGGAACCCTATTATACCAGAGAGCCCTTTGTATAGAAGGGCTTGATCTTTAGGTCATTAACTTTAATGTCTAATTTTAAGACATAAGAACAACATAAAATAATTTAATAAGTAAAAGATGAAATGAAAGCGTCACATGCAAAGCAAGGAAAATGAACATTTATATTATAAAAAAAAAAATCGTCGAAACGTTTTCATTTTTCTCTTTGTATTTTCTTTTCTTTGTCTATTTTCAGATAGGTTGTGTGAAAATATTTGGTAATTGTAAAATTATTATAATAAGTTAAAGAAATATCAAAACTGCTAAAATTTTGGCGAACCCCTACTGCAGATCTTGCGACCCACAGTTTAAGGAACCCTGGTTTAAAGTTTGTATTTTGAAGTATTATGATTAAATTGTTCTGTATTTCTACTGTTTGTGCATGCTTTTGTAGTGAAGCCATCTAGTCAGTGAAATATACATATATATGTATATATATATCATTCTCTTTGTCGTAAGTGGTTTCTTGATCGTGAGAAATTCTACTTTAGTGTAGTTTTCATTTTCATCTTCTACAATGTATTTGTGAATTAATTTGTGTTTGTTAGAATTAATACATTAACCCTCTCGCTGCGTACTTTTTTTTTTATCAAAATAGGTTCAAAAATTGCATATTTTTTATTACATATTTCAAATCTGCATATATTTTAGAGTTAAAATATACAAACATTTTTTGTAAAAGAGGTTTTTTTTTTTTTTTTTTTTTTTTTTTTTTTTTTTCCCCAGTATAGAATTAGAAAAAGAAGGAAAAGAAAGAGGTATAGAAAAAGGTTGCCAGAATACTGAAATCGAAGAATAATGATATAAAAGGAAAATTTTGAAAATTAATATTGGTTAAACTATGATTTATTTTATAAAATACAAAGGTAAAACATATATACTAATGAAAATATTTGCATAATGTAATATTTTGCATATCAATTTTGCAACACTGTCGAACAATTTTAATAGAAACTGAATTTTCAGATTCATCTCTATCTGCACAGGAATCCGAGAAATTTTCATCAGTTTCGCTATAACTATCTTTAATATACTTGAAATCAGAGTTAGAACTACTATCTGTGTCGGAAATATCGTCAAGAATATAGGTTATATCACTCGCGAAACGCTTCCTGCCAGACATCTTTGAGCTCTGAAAAGAGCTCACAAAATGCTACATTATGTATTCTTGTATATTTGGCAGAAATGTGGACAACTAACGACATTTGTTAGCCCACATCTAAATAAACAATTAAACATCACAGAAAAGCTGAAAGGAAACCTTTAACGGAGAAAGAGCAAGTTGCGCAGTTAAATAGACAGCAAAAATTCATCCACACGGTAATAGCGGGTTGTGCAAATTTTGCTACTTTTACGTTGCCCGTGGAAATCGTGGGATGCGCAGCGAGAGGCTTAATCATTATATCATCGTATGATGCTGTGGAATTTTATGTTCATGACGTAATAAAGAAAATTTTCTTTTAAAGTTTTAGTTCCTGTTAGTTAAAATAATGTTTCTCATTTGTAATGCTTTTGATCTTGAAAAATGTTGAAAGACAGCATTATTAAAAAAATAAAGAAATAAACACTTTTTTTAAATTTGTAATAAAACTGAAAAGTTACATTTTCAGTTTTACTACAAATTAATAATACACTTAACACACACAATAATAAACTCAACACTTACACAGGGTTAAATAATACTCCCTTTTGCAAAAAAATCAAAGCACCGAGAAGATCGGGATGAAATTTGGTATGCAAAAACATCTTCATTGAACATGCAAATGACCAAAGTTTCAAGGCAAATGAACAGAAATTGTGATCATAGTGTGCATTTCGCAAAGTATAAAACCAGTAACAGAGGCAGAAAATTTATCTTTTTCTGTTGCTATCGTAATTCTGTAAAGAAGCAAGTAAAGATGCCATTACGACGGTATTCGAAGACCTTACAGACAACTTTGATTGTGGTTGCATTGTAGGATTGCATGAAGCTGGGTGGTCATACCGAGCAATAGGCCACCACCTGCAGTGTACAGACATTGCTGTGCAAAGATTTTGGCAACAATGGTTGCTACAAGGAAATTGCCTACAAAATGAAAGCTCTGGAAGGCCAAGTATCACAAATGCGAGGCAAGATAGGATGATTGTTCACCAGGCCCAAACCACCCCAACGGTATTATTGTTGACTATTCAACGCACTACAGCCACGTCTATATCTCCTGTGGTACTGTCCATCATCTCAAGGTGCTTGTCTGAGGCAGTGTTACGATCACAGAGCCCTTTAAGACGTTTGCCTTTGACCCCACAACGTTGGCGGAGTCGTCTGGAGTGGTGTCGCAGCCGATCATCATTGCTGCCATCAGACTGGCATCGTATAGTATTCAGCAATGAATCCCGCTTCACTCGTGCCTGGAAAGGAAAGGGCCAGTGGTCCCAATCAGCCTTTGTTTACATACAGCTATAGCCCAGCTGTATGTAAAACAAAAGCTGGGCATCTGTAAAACAAAGGCATCACAAAAGAGCTAAGGCATACAGCCATAGCCCCTTTTTGTGATGGTGTGGGGCACTATATCTTATGACAGCAGGTCATCTTTAGTCATCCTCCGTACACCTTTAACAGCTTGATGATATGTTAATACCATCCTGCGGCTGGTTGCATTATCCTTCATGGCATGTCATCCAGGGGCTATTTTCCAACAAGATTATGCCAGGCCACATACCGCTCGCATATCTCTGGACTGTCTCCATGTGGTTGATGCTCTTTCTTGGCCATCCAGGTTGCCAGACCTTTCACCAATCAAGCATGTTTAGGACATAGTAGGCCACCAGATTCGAGCACCACAAATATCACTGATCTGGAACGACAGCTGATGAATGCCTGGCAGAATGTGTCGCAGGATGACATTAGAAACCTCTACCACTCCTTGCCTCGACAAATTCAAGCACGCATTACCGCCAGGGGCGGTTCGACCAACTACTAATTTGAACACTCACTGAGTGATTGTGAGCTGGGACCTTGAATTTTTAATCATTTTATTACCTGTATATGAGCTATACACATATTCAATTTCATCAAAAACAACCACTTCCTTTATTGTGCTTCGATTTGTTTTGCAAAAGAGTGTAACTCGTTGTGGTGTTGGATATGTTATTGTACTCATAAATATTGGTGACATGGGCAATAGAGATAGCTATAAAAGGGTAATTTGTAGTTCCACTTTTATTTTGTTTATATGCATTGGTAATAATTATAGCTCCTTTTTTTGTAAAATTTTGTTGAATTTCAGAAGCAGTGTGATAGAATGAATAGCTGACAATGGTTAGGGGTAGAATTGTTGATAGATTTGATAAATCACAGGTACCATAATTTCCGGAAGAAAGGCCGCATCAGCGTAAACGCCGCACTCGAGAAAAATGGCGGGAAGAAAATTAAAATTACACAGAAACGCCGCAATAGATTAAATTGCGCGTGACATCGTCGTGGGCCGTATAGATTCAAAAACTCAACCCAAGTCCTGATATATGACATACCAGTTAAAAAAAATGCATGAAATGAAACCATAACTCAAAAATAAAGGTAAGAAATGTATAGCTTCTGTGCCGTTTAGAGGCATTTTAAAAAATTTTCCGCTCCCTAATTAAAAACTATTCAACAAGTACTTGTACCCTAACTGATGGGATCTGTATTTGGCAGAATGCCAAGAAAAATCCATTCATGCTGAAGGGGAAATACGTCAGAGTTCGTTATTGCGAGGCAGGTGGAGTCGTGTCCGCCTTTGCAGAAAAGGCAGGGGTGGGGAGAGGTTGGGTCCTGGAAGATTCATCGAATGGCAGAGGAGAGAGACTATTCAAACTGATGAGAATGTTGATTTGAAAGGGGAAGAATGTTATTGTTTCGGAGATCTCGTTTAGGGTGAATAAGGCATGTAGGTCCGTTCAAGGGAAAGAACGTAAACAAAATAACGTTCGCAAAAAGCAACTGAGTGGTCTTTTTTGTGGGAACAGCACCAATCTATGCACAATGACAAGGCCATCCAAACTATGTACAATGACCAGCATAGGAAATATTTTATTTTTGGTGCACCTAAACGCCGCACCCGCTGAAAATTTATGTTTTAAACACGTAAACGCCGCGGCGTTTCTTCCGGAAATTACGGTAATTTAAATGAAGAAAAACTAGTTTTTCTAAGATGTTGATAAATTAGGTAAATGCAGATACATGTTGTTTTAATGTGAATGATTTTCTGCTCAAAGAATTATTGGTATTTGCGATGAAGCTTTTCAGCGTGGTTAATCTGAGCACACTAGATTTCATTTATTCCTTTACCCTTTTTATAAATATATCATAAAGATAATCATTTATAGTATAAAATATGCATATACAAGGTACAGTATTACAATATACTCATAAAATGCAGGAATGTAGCATACTTGGTTGTAATGTCATATACATACAGTTCGATTACAATATAATTGATATGTAAATAATAAGCAGTTAAAGTTAAATAAGATGTAAAGAGATTAAATAAGTTAATGACAACCATAGGGAAAAATAGATAAAAATACACTTGGATTTTCGATTTGAATTATAATTTCGTTCCAAAACTTAGAACTGCCGTCTTTGGATTCCAGTTGAATTAAGTCTTGATCTCTCCACTTCCTCTGTAATTTCAATTTCAGGGGTGTTTTTGCTGCAGTTGTCAGTGCGGGGTTAAGTTAGATGTATCATAACCATGGGAGTAAAAGGTAAATGGAGCAGCTACCAGCAACCCTCGTAGTAGGACTAGTTGAATCCTCAACACTGATAAGCTTTCCTGTCTCGCTATTTTAATGGACCCAGTTAAACTACTGTTTACATATAACTCTGTGCATTTCCCACTGTTTTAAACATGGTTATAATAATTGTTTTGCAAGTAAACCGAAGATTTTTTGTCACACTATTAAAATGCTTTTTAAACTTATCACAGTTAAATTTTAGGACCATTAGCAATTTTCAATAAGCTGTTAATGAACGCCTTTAAGTAGCAATGATAGGCATGGGGATGCAATTTCAAAGCAATTAGTTTCTGTCCTACTAAAATGTAGATGGATAATTTAAGTGCCATCGAAATTTTTGAAGATATAACATCATCAATTCTTATGCAAATATGAATTCTCAACTGTGTACAGATATAACTAATAAAGAATACCTTAATAATAAAAAAGAATGAAATTCGTAGTACTTTTTGGAAATCATTCAACTGGCGAATAAGTAGAAGCAGAAGTTGAAGGAAATAATGGAATTGACTTCTGGATAAAATAATAAACTCTTAAAATTATTTTCTGTATATAATGAAGAAAACAATAAATTTTTCTATGAACACATGCAGCACTGATTTATAACAAGAATCTGAATTTTGTCGGTAATTAAAAAAAAAAAAAAAAAAAATTTTGTTTATCAAGATAAGTTATATAATGTCTTATCCCCCTACATTTAAATTCTTATCTTATAAATAAACATCATTCGTACTATGAAGGATTATGAGGACTTTTGCATTGTGCATGTGCCATGCATTTTGGCAATAATAGTGTAATAATATGTGCTTAATTATTCTTGTTTATGCACACATACACAGAGATGGTGCTATCCTTGGGTCTCGGCTTGTGGTTGACTCCTCTTTCACTCTCTCACAGGTGCCAAAAAGTGTGGAGGTGTATAATGGAAAAGTACTGAGTTATGAAATACATTAAACAAAAAATACAAGATAGGTTTTTGATATCAAAAGCAGTTATTTAAAGTTACATCCTAGACTTTTAAGGGGAGATAGGCTATGGAAGTTATATAATATAATGAAATTATTTAATGCTTCCTTCATTATCTTCTTTGTGATATGCATAGAAATGCATACAATCCTGGAGAACAGAAAGCCTTTGTCTTGTTATAATTGAAAAAATTAATTATAATATTTCATGGATTTTATTCATGTTACTTACAATACTGATGTACTCTATTCTTAAAGTTAACTGAGATCTTTTCAAATTCAATTTGATTAAAAATACATTAAATAAACCAAATTAATTAATTAAGATTAAAATTTTGTAAAAATATCATTTAAAATTTTAACAAAATCAGGGCATTCCTATGATATGTAAAGAATATTTTTATTATTAACTTTCTTTCTTCAGTGTTAATTAATAATCTGTAAAGTTCCTTTATGTTAATTAACCAGTTATTGTATATTTTGGGTCTTTACAGTTACCTCTCCCTTCTGTTTTCCTGCCAGAATGGAAATTAGTTCGTGTGTAGTGGGGTTTTTAAACTGTAAGGCAGAGGGTGTTTTGCCTTTCGAGGACACGTTGCTAAATTGCTGCTAGCTTAGATAAGATATGTAATCTTTGGTTTTGCATTATAATTGCCGATAGTTGAATAATCAAGCCACATGTGGTTAGCCAAGTTGTAAGCACCAGGTGTGCCTTCTGCTGTCTGAGTTTAAAAACAAAGGGTCTTTTACACCCTTCTGAAGTTTCAGTTGTTATTTTAGACTTAGCGAAAATTCGCTGCCAGTCGTAAGTTTAGTTACAGTTTATAATTGCAAAGAAGATGGTTAAATTTGATAACACGTAAGAATTTTTCTCCTTTAAGTGGAACTAATTTGTTAAATTTATGTCCTTTTTGGGGGGAGGGAAGGGGAATCTAACTTATCCGATAGATCTTTACACCAATATTTGCTTCTTATCCTGAGATAATATTTGCTTATTTCTCTAATTAAATGCACAATAGAGTTTTCAGTCAGATCTTGATCTAATGTTTATAACATAAAAGAAAGCAAAAACAATTCAAATGGAAAGGAAAATATAAATTACTTTATACAGGGTTTCCCCGGGAAGTAGTAAGACTGATTTTTCCTCTGCCGAAACGTGGCGAAGGAGGGGGATGTTACTGCACTGGTTGGATTATGACGACCAGTCGCTAGTCGTCTCCAAGCCTTCTCGGAGTGTATATCGAGTTTAAGATGAATCCCTTTCATGGTGCCTTGTCATCTCCACAATGAATCGTTTGTTAGAGCAGCCTTAGGCGGCGAAGTTTTACGTCAAACTTGGAAAAACTGCGAGTGTGGTCAATGACATGATCAAGACTGCTTATGGGAGTGATGCCATGGGTCGATTAAGTGTTTTTGAGTGGCACAAGTTGTTTCGGGATGGAAGAGAGCAAGTTGAAAATGAGCAACGGTCAGGACGCCTTTCAACGGCAAAAATGACAAAAACTTGAAAGTGCGAATTTACACAGACTCAATTGCAGGCCATCCAGGGCGGCCGCCGCAATAGACATTCCATTGTCAGGGACACACTAAAATTATTATTTTCGATTCCTGAAAAGTTCATACGGGGATTAAAGGAAATGAAGCAGCAGATGCGAAAGGCGCAGCTAATGAACCCCACGTGAGTGACATTAATGTTCCCCTTCCGTACTCGCAGAAGACTGTATAATTTCCAACCAAAAGTTAACCATAATTTAACTAGCAGCTCTTCGCACCTCACATAGTACCTGACAGGGCATGGCCATGTATGTTCTATGTTCACAGATTCAGATTTCGCCTAAGAGACAGCGACCAATGTATTTGTGGCAGTACTGGTGACCCAGATCACTATCTGTTTGATTGCCCGCACACAGGGAATTCACATTAAAAAAGACTAGCTGCAATCAATATGCCGGTATGGTTCAAGAACACAATTAAGAATAAACATGCATTCAGCCGTATTAGAGACTGCACTACCGTTGGTAAAAGCATTGCGGTAAAAGTGACTTCTTTCTTTGGAAACCGTGCCGTCAGCAGTCCGCGCTGTACATATATTAATTTACTTAATGTCTTGTGTTTTTTTAATAATTTTAATATTATGATTAATCCAGAACTCAGTTAATGTATTCCACAATTTGTAATGTATTTGTTTATTTTTACATCTGTACCTGAGTCTATACTATATCCTTAATATATCTGTATACCTAATATGTACCATAATAGTGAAAAGTGTTCCTCTTAGTCTCAGCAGTCCTCACCATGCACCTTCTTTCCATGTTCTGGTCGTTCTTTCAATGTTCCTGGTTTAGCGTGACCAGTTCCCGAAGGACACAGCACTAAGCTCTAAATGTAATCAATACCCGGAGTACACAGTACTAAGCTCTTTATTGATATTTATTTATGTATTTATTTTTAATTCCATCGACGGGATCCAACAGGCTGAAAAGCGCCTAACCCAGGGGGCTAGCTGTTCCAACGATGGCGAAAAGAAGTAAAGTGAGAAATCTTTTGAATTCTGACCACCTCAGAATCAGTAAACGAGTCACCCGCGTCCTTCCAGCAATCGCTGGATCATGGAGGCTGCATCACGACAATGCGCCGAACCACACTGCCTTTGCTGTCATGACCAAACATGGCATCACACAGCTTTCCTAACCACCCTATAGCTCAGTTGTCGCTCCTTAAGACTTCTTCCTCTTCCCCCGACGGAAGAATTGTGAAAGGATGGCACCAGGGCTCGGTCCAGGCCGTAACGAGGGAGGTGGAGAGCATTCCAGTTTTTGCATGCCAGGGATTGGCAGAGCCACTTCAGCGATTGATAGAGTAGCTGGAAACGGTGTGTTGATGCAGAGGGGGCATATTTTGAAAACTATTCAGCCGACTTGTCAAAATTATGAATGAATTAAAAAAAAAAAAAAAAAGAAATTCAGTTCTACTGCTTTCCGGGCAAACCCTGTACATAAAAATAATGTATCTATAGAAGCTTAAATTTTTGCTTTTTGATGCATCATTTCTTCCTGAACATGCAATAGCAGAACAATAAACCACTTTAACATTTAATTTAACAAATATATTGTCGAAATTATCATCGATGTTCATAACATCCTATTCTGAGAAGGGAGTAGACGAGAGTCGATAAAAGAAGGAGACTAGGGAGGTAAAAACTGAGTCTTTCTCGCTTTTCAGATTTAAGCACGGTGTCTGCTCCATCTACTTCTGAACTCCATGGTCAACTCCCAAGAATAAGTCAGGGAGGAGGAGAATCCCCTTTTTTATCCATGTACGGAGTATTTGTTTTTAATATAATTGAAGTTTTCAAGATGCCATGGATAGTGACTTGCTTTCCATATTGTCCTATATTGTACCTGAAATCATTCTAAATTAATTTAGTAACTAACTGTTTGGAAAGTTATACCTAGAGAAAATCACAGGTAGAGCTGTATTCAGGTTCCAGCCATTCCACATGGCCGAAATCATGACATAAGGGGTGGGATTTTGGGTCGATGATTTTCTTCTGAGCCGGTTCGGAGACTTCTTGGAGAGCAGAAATAATTTCCATCATAGTATTTACCATCTGAAAGATATAAGAATATGAGAAATACATTGGCTTATTGATTAGTTAAGAGAAGGATAATTCTACTTCATAAACCGGTATTTTTTCTACATAAGTACTGAGTTCATTACATTAATACATATGCAAGATAAAACAGGCAAATCGACAACCTTGGCCAATCTACAACATATGCAAGATTGGCCGAATTGAACATATGGAATTGGCCGAATTGAACGACCGTTTTTGGATTATATTTTAAATTAACTATCGCTTCAGTTTAGGTTCTAGCTAAATCTAGGTTTAGAGCTAATTATAAACACTATTAATTTTTTTATCATTCTTTTATTCCCGTACAATAGGGAACGGTAACTATATGTGTTCATGTATACGTTAGTTCTCAAGCTTTGATTTGAAAATATACTACAGCGTTTCAGATTCATAAATCAGTGACTTAATCTCGAAATTTTTAAAAATAGCATTTCTTTAAAATTGCGGATACAGTGTTAAGTGTTACCGTACATTTCTTTTTATATTCGCTTATTATTTATATTTGATGTTATTTGATTAAAAATAATACATAGCGATAACATTTCGTGGTAACATCCTTTTATTAGAAATGTGATTCGACACAAAATTAAAACGAACGCAAAATTGAGGATTAATTCTTTCATAATGAGAGCTCGTCTTCATAACGAGCTTTTTCTCATTCCATTTGGTATAATTCTAAGAATGCATTTAATGCTTATAAATATAATGTGTTGTCCTTAATCACATACCTATTTTAAGTAGCAAATTTCAGATTATCTCATATTTTTTTTACGAAAGTCTGCTCAGAGCTTCGAGTAAAAAATCACTTCCGATTTTTTAATTTTAACCAAAATCTCATTTAATAATCTGTTTTTCCTCATGTATTTGCCCGCTAGTTTTTTTAGGGCTAGGTTCTGAAAATTTTAAAAACATTCGCATAATTTAGTCCTTTTTCGATTGTACATAGTGTTTGCGTCTAAGGGATAGTTTTATTGGTAAATTGATTATTTTTATTTTTATTCATTTTATCCAATTTGTTTTCCCTAATATTTATGATTTAAAACGTATTATTGTGCAGATTCGTCGTTAAGCTACCCGGAAATGACAGGTGTTCTCTCACTTAAGAAGCATTCCAAAAATGTGATTTCACCTTACTTCTGTTAGTTACGTTTCAGCTCGTTATAGGCTTATCTACTACTGATATGTTCGAGCTTTTAAAATCCAGGTCATTTGTTCGCCTCTCTTCTCCGACGTTCCTATTAGGAACTGCGGTAATGACTCATTCATATGAGGTGACTCTGGAGTTGTATAAGATAAGCGCGACGTGTCCGGCTCAGTTATTGTCAGTAATCGGCCCTATATCTGTCAGATATCGTAATGTTAATATTACTATGTGTTCTTATTGAATTTCTTTAAAAGAAATAATATTGTGATAGTTATCAGTAGTTTATCCATGATGACTATTTTTCATTTGTTATTTTCATCCTGTAGCTACGTTCTTTGGGAATTACGCACAATTTTTTTTTATTGATTTTCTAGCGATATAGTTAGTTAAAAAGAGGGAGAAAATATGCAAGGAAACACGGTATGTTGTTCCATGCTTTAATGCTTAATGGCTATACTTATGTAGTCAATAAATGGCTTTAATAAGCTATATTCAGCTGGTCCCTAAGGAACATCAGAATAGAAACATTCAAATAAATCCCATGTAGGGAATGAGAAAAAAAGGTAAGGGTTGTTGTTCCCATTGATATAAAAGTCTTAAATAAGTAAAAGTTTTGTATTATATTTTAATATAGTTTTTAATTAAGAACTGTTATGAGCTTCCTGTAAAGTGCCACTTCCAGTTGCCCAGTTTTATTCAAAATCTAATGAACTCTTTTCACGAATGTAGAAAGCTTAAATATGGAAAATGGAAATTTGTGAAAGTTTCACACAAAATTTATCGAGGACGAAATAATCGTCATATACATACATTTAAACAGACACGTAGGTAGGCAGACATCATTTTAAAAATAGTAAGAACTTACTGAAGGGCACCTGATTCTTGCTTATTTACCGAAAACTCTCTACCGAATTTTTGAACGGAAAACATTACCTCCCTTACGTATGTATATAGAGGAGATATAAAACTTCTTGTCTTCTGATAATATAATGAAAAGGCGTGGATTACTTTAATACCATTGACAACGGTGTTCTACCCCTTAAGTGTAAAGTTACTTCAAAAGGGACCAGTTTTCATTAAAAGTTTAATTGACGGCTAGATAATACGCCTAGCCATTTTCAGTCCATTGGAATGAAAAATGAGAATATTCAGGTGGTTGTTTTGCTACCAAAATGACCACATTCCTTCAGCCACTTGATCAGGATTTTATTATGTGTGTAAAAGTATCATATACTCGCCAAGTCTTCAAGATGATTCGAACAGACATTCAAGCTGCTCCTAACCTTCAGGTAAGAGACTGATGCAAATCCTTCGCTGTCGCCGACGCAGTAACTTTCATGAAAGCAGCAGTGGGCAAATTAAAGCCATTGCCAATGCATGTTGGAAGAATTTGTAGAGTGAAGTCGTCCACAGTGGCGACTCGTAATAAGCACTGTGGAACTGCAGCACCCCGTATTTCCACTTATTATTATTTTTAATATTTAATATAATGTGCCTTTTATACTTTAACTCTTTCTTTATACTTCTACAATATTTAATCCTTAAGCTTAATGTCAGTAGCCATCCCCCAGTTTATGAAGGTATGAAAGTCTTTGTATGGAACTGCTCGCTTTACAGTTCAGCGGCGCCGTGTTTGGCTGTTCTGCGCATGCGCACTCAGAAAACAGCACACAAGCCAGAGAGAGCAAAGAGCACTGTCGCTCTTGCAGTGCCGAATCTGGCGTGCCGTTGGGAGGTGTTTTTTTTTCACTCCGCATGGGCTGTGTTTAAAAACCATACGCCATATTCTTGATTAGATTATTTTCCAGCAATTCTATTTGATTCGTTTTGTCGATTCTTTTATTTTACAAAAAATTTTAACCATGTCCTTGCATTCTCAAGTAATAAATTCTGCGACTGTAAGTGAACTTCGAGAGCTTTCGTTTTCACAGCTGTCTCTACATGAAAAAGTTACAATTAAGAAAAGAGGTCGTTCAGCACCTGATATTCTAATATGTCAGACAGGTATAAGCAATAATAAGAAATATATTCGTAGTTTCAATTCTGAATGGTACCAACGGAAAAGTTTGCTTTGCGGTTGTGAACTAAAAAATGCTCTGTTTTGCTTCCCGTGCTTGCTGTTTGGAGTTGGACAAAAGAGGGTTTCAGAAATATAAACAAAATGAAAGAAAAAACTGAAAAGCATGAGAAGTCAAAGAAGCACGTTGATAATGTAGTTTCACTGTCACTTTTAGGAACCGTTAGCATTAAGGAGAAACTTAGTGAGGGATACAGACTTTCAGTCAATAAGCATAACATAAAGGTTAAAAAGAACGGTGAAATTTTGTTCAAAATAATAGACTGCATTTTCTTTTGCGGAAACTTTGAAACTCCCTTACGTGGACATGATGAAAAAGACGATTCAGTAAATCCAGGGGTATTTAGAGGATTAGTAAATTTTGCATCTAAATTAGATTCAGATTTGAAGAATCACTTAGAAACTAGTGCAGTCTTCAAAGGTGTTTCGAAGACCATTCAGAATGAGATACTTGACTGCCTGTTTCAAATATACCATGAGGAGATAAGGACGGAAATTAGAAAAGCTTCTTTTGTAGCTTTAATGGTTGATGACACAACAGATGTTTCGGAACGCACTCAGATGGTCCTTGTTCTACGATATGTATTGAATGGAGAATTATTTGAGCATTTCTGGGGATTCTTTTTTCCAGAAAATCAAACTGCAGATGGCATATCAAAATGCATTTTAGAACAATTGTACATAATCCTTCAGGGAAATGAACAAAAATTGATAGTTCAGACATTTGATGGTGCAAATGTCATGAAAGGAAAAAAAACAGGAGTTCAAGCAAAAATAAAAGCAGTTTATACTAATGTACATTTTATTCACTGTTATGCACATCAACTTAATTTAATAATGAAAAATGCAGCAAGTATTTCACGAAACGCGAAAATATTTTTTTCTAATATTCTGGCTATTCCAACATTCTTCTCAAGATCACCGCAACGTGTGTCCATTCTAAAGAAGCATATGAACGTTAGCATTCCACGTCCTTCCTCCGCAAGGTGGAACTTCAACATACGGACCATAAACAGAGTTCATGAAAATTTGCAACCTTTTAAAAAATTGCCTTACTGAAATTCAGTCAACATCAAATGCAGATCAAACTATTGCAGAAGCAACAGGAATTTTAAAATATCTAAATGATGATAATTTCAAGTTTTGGTTAGAGCTTTTTTATCAGATTATGCCTCATGCTGAAATAATATACAAGCAAATGCAATCCAGAGAAATTAGTGTGTTTAAAGTTAATGAATATGTAACAAATTTAAAAACTGCTATTTTAAAATTAAGACATTCAAAGTACTGTGAGAATTCTTCAAAGACACTGATGGCCGAAGGAAATATGTGACTTTATACGTATAGATATAATGGACCGATATGCTTCCACTAAACACTTATCAACTGCTAAATTGTTCAACAAGAAATGCTTCGCTAGTTTTAGGAATACACATCCTACAGAAGAAATGGTACCGATCACTGAAGCATATCCAATGATTGACAAAGAAAAACTTGAAAGTAAACTAAAGATATTCTATCGTAGGTCTGATATTCATGAGTAGTGCAAATTAATTGAACTACTGAAATTTATCTTGGAAAATAATCTAGACGATGTTCTTAGTGAAATTACAAAATTAATAAAAATTCTCTTGACAGTTTCCATGACTACATGAGAGGCAGAACATTGCTTTTCAACATTGAAAAGAATGAAAACCTTTCTAAGAAGTACTATGAACTCGGAAATAGTAAATGCGCTTGCAGTGCTTTCAATAGAGAAAAATTTCCTCAGTTGTCATCCAGAGATCAAGGAGAAAATTATTGATCTTTTCGCGCAAATTAAAACAAGAAGAATGGATTTCATTTTTAAATGAATAAATAACGATTAAACTGTAACAATTTAGGTTAAAGTAAATAAGAAATGTTTAATTTTGTTCTTGTAAGATTTCATGAAGTTTCAAAATAAATTTTCTTTTTATACAGGTTTGTTTGCTTTTACACAATTTTAAAACAAAGGTTAAAATTTTTTGGAACAGCACACCTACTAATTTTAGCTACGAGCCGCCACTGGTCGTCCATGATTTCAAACGCGTCACTGGCTTCGATAAAGAAATAAATATAACAGTACAAACGTACAAACAGCAAGAAAATCTGGTAACGATGGATTTGTCAACAAATAGAGGAAAAGTTAAAGAACATATTGAAAGTATATTACCAGGAGGAATTGATGAATGAGGAGTTAAAAGACTTGGCCAGCTCACATGCAGAGGAAGGTGGTGATGATGAAGAAGGAACTGCAGTAGAATAAGCAGTTTGGACACTAGAAAAATTTGGAGAAATATTTCGAATGGCCTAAAGTTTAAAAAAAAGGAATGACTTATAATCCTATGATGAAGCGTAGCATTAAAGTTTCGAGTAGAAATAACAGAAGCTTTGCACCTCTTCAGCAAACATTAAACGAACTGAAAAAGCAGAAACAACAGAAGACTTTCAATCATTTTTCAATAGCTTCTAAAGATGATCCGGGTGATCCTTATTCTATTTTCTCAAGTGGATAATCATCAGAGTTTACAAGCACCTTATCATCACAATATTTCTACACACAGTTATCCTACTTCCTTCCGCCATCCTAGATATTGTGCTGTTATCACATATTTAGAATTACCGTTATCATTGTCAGTGATCATTGCAACAGCAAGAAAAATATGGATATCGCTGCGTATCATAAAAAACTAGTATCCTTTTTCTAGAAGTGAAATTGTATATCATTTACAGATATGCACACATAATTTTCACTGTAAATTTGCCAGTCATAATTTTTATTTTATTATTTTATTTCATTGGAGAAAGCATTTTATTCCTAACATCCCTTGAAACAGTTCATGATACTGCACTTAATTTAAGACTCATCTTTTACGGAAGAGCTAAAATTTTTCATTAATTCTCTTTCATTTAATGTATTTGAGGGAGGAAAATATTATACTGTAATGAGGAGGAAACTTTACATTATTGTATTAACAACATATTATGTGAATTGATAATACAGTCAAAAGTCGTTAATTTGAACACCCATAATCCGGAATGATCTATAATCCGGAATGATCTATAATCCGGACCTCAAAGCTACAAACTTTCTGCGCATGCGTGGCGTTAACGCATGCACATAGGCGTTTACGTGTGCGCGTAAGACCTTTACGGCTGCGAATATGCGAGTGCGCGTGCGCATAAAACGTTTACGCATGCGCGTTTAATGTATAACGGACGGTATAAGCTAAGCTAAAATTATGTAATTCAGTTGCAGATTGCGTTGTTCCTTAATCTTCGAAATGGATCCGGCTTATTATTTTTTGCAGACTGTTAGAGCAATTTTATAAAAGTAAGCTTGAACTTTCGATTATATCAAATAGAATTTCCGATATATATTTGCTAATATGTAAAGGATCTAAAGCGAAAGTATGCTTCGAAATCCGAAATCTGTTTATCAATTTCACGCTGCTCGGCGGGGGGAACGCCGCGGTGCGCAATGAATTGGAAGTTGATCTGTCAGCACTATCCTTATCTTCAGGGCAGATGTTTTTATTTTATTTGGCTTATAATTCCTTACTAAATGTAGTATTTCATCTCGATGTACTCCGTCTTTGATATGATTTAAAACAAGTTTCTCGTCGTCATAATTCGCTTCCGATAGTGAAGAAAGTGACAGAGGTTATTGAAAACGAAAAAATTTCGATTGACAAATTAGTCGGTGTTCTCGACACAGCAATTATAGGACTTGAACAGCGGAACTTTGTAACTAAACAAGAAATTATGTCTGTTTAATAGAATTAAAGAGAAAGTATTATCACATGAAACGAAACAACTTCCATTGAAAGAAATGTTTATAAAGTAAACAAATAAATATTAAGCTTTTTCTTTTTGTAAATTTTGATACCCTTTAGATCATAATTGTTCTTTATTTCATAAATTACGGTTTCATATTTTTAATTTTGTAATTTTTGCGTGCCATCTTACCAGATTTAAACTGATGATCTATAATCCGGAAAAATCGATAATCCGGAATCGCCGAAGTCCCGACGAGTCCAGATTAACGACTTTTGACTGTAGTGCACAGTATATTTTACAGAGGATGTTTATACACTTCTAGAACGATTTAGGGGCCTTTTAATTAATGTTTAAAGCTTAAAGTATATTTTTTTAAATGTTCAATCTGATAGCCGTTTTTCTGAACTGTAAATCTGCATTGTGGTTTCCATGATAGGAGGGTTTTCTTAAATTTTCCAGGGGTATTGACTACAATTACTCTCCACTACTTTTCAGAGTCCATCAAGCGTGTTGGATTTGCACTTAGAAAAATCTATTTTCAAGGAACCAATGCCACAATAGTCCATAGGAAATACGTCAGGGGACTTCGCAGGAGTGCACTGCAATGCAGTTGTACTTTTCGAAGTGTGACTCTTTTTTTAATGAAGTTTCACTCTTTGAAAGTCAATGGGATAAAGAAATGGAATTTCTTCTGTAAATATCAGACGTAAAACTTTCTCTTGGTAATGCGTTGAACTGATTTTTAACATTTTTCCTATTCTTCTTATTTTTAATTTCCCATCCTAAGATAATCCTGCGACAGTAATAAATCTTTACTGAAACTTTGTAGAGTTATTAGGTTTTTTTGTAGCAGAAGATTTGAAGAATGTGCGGTGCGCTCGCTGGGACTCGAATCTGGATCTCTCGAATACACACCGATTGTGCTACCGTTACACTACGAAGGGATGATGGAAGGAGGGAGAAAATACCTTATAACTTTCTTTGCATTGACGGAACGAGGTTTTTACAATTTTCTGCTCTTCGATTTTCATAATAAACTGACCTTTTTTTAATTGCAGTCATTTAGGTAAACATATACTTCATCGACCGTCATAATGTATTTCCATTTACCATCTGCTAAATAGTTTTCATACAGAGATCTACAAATTATTCTGAGTGGCAAAAGCTTATGAACATCATGTATTTTAGCTTTTCCAAGTTGCAAGTCTTGGTTTATTATTTTATTTATTTTTGCTACATATCCATTTAAAGACTGCAGTTGATTTCTGCGTCGACAGATTTTCTCTTATTATCCAGTTAACTGTAGAAACATTAGAAATAGTACGTACCATTTTAAGATATTCGTTTCGAGTTTTCTTTGCATGTAGAAGTAATGACTGACGAATTTCCTCTTACCGATTAATAATGTTGCTTTTTTTTTCACTTAGAAATTTGAATACCATGCATTTCATGTTTTTTAATTTTTGAATAGGAATATTTCTCTTCGAGAAGCGCAAAAACATATTCTTCAATCCAGAGCTTGCTTGCATGCGACATTTACCTCTTGTCTTTGAGTTTTAGAATTTTATTTTATTACGAAAATGAAAGTTCGCCTGAAGCACAGGAAAATAAAACAGAGTGTACTTTAATAATTAATTATATTTAACCTTACATAATAACTGAAATCTAGCTTTTTTGTACAATTCCATGAGATAATGCTTTTGCAAAAGGGAACATAATATAAAATAACAAACTAATTATTCAAAAGAATATATATAATTTTGTCGCTACTATGTTGATTATGAAAACAGGGCTGGAAATAGTGAAAAGAAATGCATGACACGTGTTGGCTCATTATTCAAAGATTTATTTCTCATCTTTTATTAGAGAATATCCTACAGAGTTGTAAAAGCTGAGCGATAAAGAGCCGAATCTGTAAGACCAGCTGATAGCTGCAGATGCAGAAGACTTCAGTGTTTCAATTTCTTGAACTTAAATTTTTCAGAAACATTCTCCATCTTTATCAGTAATGTACTTTCTGTTATAAGCACAATCCATTGCATTGAAATTTGAATTTCAAATTTTTGTGGCGGAGAGTTTTAACATTTGAATTAATTATTTGAAGTGTTGAAAAAGTGTTCACAATTAATTTAATGGAATAATTAAAACTAGTTTTCAGACTTATTTTGCATTTGAAGTTGTAAGTTGTTAGTTTAAATACCAATTACTCTAAATTTTGTCATCTTTTCTGAACTCCTCAATTTCCCCTCGCATTTCCTCACAAGGATGCAAATTAAATTAAAATGAAGAAAAGTGTTTAAAAGGGTGAAAAGAGAAAGTTAGTCTGAGTGTGATTTCGCTAGTCTAGCGCACGTTGCTATTCTGTTCTTCCTGCTGTTCCTTTGAGTTGCTGATACGCCTTCTGGCCGTTTAGTTAAAATCTATCGCCTGTGCAAGTTTCTGAGTCAGCCTAAGACTCAAGTAGTCTAATAGGCTGACTCAGCGTTTAAATACCATTTAAGTTTATTGTTAAGTCATTCTGAAGTTCTCACCGCAAGTAGTCGGTATTATTGTGATCCCAAAGTATGTGCATTTTTGTTGAACAGTTTAATTAAATAAAAGGGAAATTAAAACCCTTTCCTCTGTGTGCTATTTCTTCACGCTGTGCGAGAAGTCGTAAATAGTCCATATCTTTTATCTTATCATAATAAGTCTATATCTTTGAATGTTAACAAAAAATCTCACAAAATAGAACACATTCAAAGCGAAATTAAAATGAGAACAATCTAGAAATTTAAGAATTAGCAAAATACAAATAATTTTTATTCTTTATACAAGGATCGAGATTAAAACTATATTTTCCTGGAATGGTATAACTGTTTTGACGACTAACTCAATCACGTTTCTGATATAATTGCACACTCTGCGCAACAGATACGAACCTTCAGTGTTCTAGGGGATTTCTTCGGATAATATTGGTTAAGGCTAAAACAATATAGAAGGTAACTGTCTTTGAACTAAATTTTCCCCAAACATTGCAAGCTTGGGGCTACTGAGCTAACCTACAGAAAACGTCTGAATCACTTAACCTTCAGTCCTCATTTTAACTATGTGGTGCATGTGTAGATTTATATAAACTAACATTTCCGAAACGGAAAATATTCTAAAAGATGCATTCGACGCGATTGAGTCACTCGCAAGAAATTTTTATTTCCGACAAACGTTTAGAAAATTGAATTAAAATTCATATCAAGGCAATCAATTTGAAAAATTCATTGCTTTCCTGCTTTTAATTAATTAGAATTATTTTTCTAAATTTATCTATAATCTTAAAAACTATTTAAAAATAGCAATGGAAAATAGTTTTACCTGAGGATAGACAGCAGCTATATTGTGATATTCACAAGGGTCAGAAGTAATGTTGAACAGACAGGGTGCTTGGGCTGGATTGCACTCTTTTCCCTTTATTGGCTGTTTACCATTGCATTGAAGGACTGCCTCTCTCCTCCATGTATCTGGAGACCGAGGTAACCACAGCTCAGTTCTCTTCAAAATAGTTTCCACAACATTACTATCTTTGAATACCCATTCATCCATAGACGCTGGATTCACATCTTCAAATCCTGTTGGACCGTACCATTCTTCTGCTTTATTAAAAACTGAACCATTAATTAGTTTTAAATTTCCAATTCTTAAAGCTGACATGCCATATATAGTATCCAGAAGATGAAGAAGCTCACGTCGAGGAGATTTACAATTTAGCCGAAGAGCATTCCACATATTTCGACCATCGATAGTACCTAAATCTTTCACATTACCACCTACATAAACAAAAAGCAATATGAATACTTGAATAGAGGTAGCATGCTGCCTATACACAAACACACACGCACACACATGCACACATATAATGTGTATATGTATGCGATGTTGTAGTTTTGGCGGAAGATAAAACCAATTACGTAGCAGTCGTGGTGGGAACAGAACGAACAGATAGCTTGAAACTGCTGCATAGATGGAATGATGGAGTTCCAGACAGAAGTTTCGAATTCAACGCATAATGTATTGATTAATGAAAATTCATTGTCCGTATTTCTTAGGACATATCCTTGATAGATGCAACACTGGGGAGAGTGCTTTAAACGCCCCACAATTTCTATATACGAAGCTTACATTTAAATAATAGAAATATACAGTTAAGTGAGAGACGTGACTTTCTCAGGCATAAACAAGCAGCAAAAGAAGATGCGGAATTGTTGCAATAGTATTTATACGCTTAGAAATTTTTTGTTTGAATGCTGAGCTGCTATTGAGCAAAAGCTTCTGCAATGCAGAGAAATGATGATGCGAAATGATGCAATATGTATTCTTGAAGAGAACTTATACCTAATTAAAATTTAAAATTTAAAAGTCTATACCTGAATTTTTTTTTCTTTTTCGTTTCCTATTTTATATTTTACATATACATATATACATTTGAGCACCGTTTATACGTTTCTCGTTTTTACATCCTTTATATTTATGTGTCGTTTCATCTTGATCCTGATTCAGTGCTATTTATTTTAATAGTAAAACATTTCTTTTATACGTCGGTTTTGCTTAACTTACTGCATGTTTTCACATTTCGCAGGCCCACCATTCAAGTATTTTCGCTAGAAATGGGGACAGGGGATGGAAGTAGAGGCATGAAACATCCGAGTCTGGTACAAAAGTTGAAAACATGCTCATGAATAGAAGGAATACTTAAAAGGAAAAATAGACAAGTTTTATTCTTCTGAACAGGACGCTGTGTTAAGTAAACTATGTGGAGCAGAATTAATTGATACAAAATGCCATGAAAGCGAAACGCACTTTTCGTTAAAGATAAAATACGAGAGAGAAAACATTTCTTTTGCCTGGGATACAGAATAAAAAGACACGTCAGACGACAATTAAAAATTTTTTCTTCAAGAAAAGTTAAAATTTGCTTTAAAATGTTTCTGAAAAATTTTGTTTACTTATTCAAGACGGTAATTCAAATAAAAATATAACATTTTTTCCAGTTTTACGTAACTACAGAAATTTGCATTCTTGTGGTTTCAAAAATATAAATTTGTATTAATATCATTTTTAAAGTATTGATTATGAAGCAATTGTTTTAACGCCTTAAAATTTTAATATTAATTAAATATTTATTAAAAATATTAATTTTAAATTTGTTTGAACATAGTTAATATTTTAAACAAATTAAAAAGTACGATAACAAAATTGTGAAACGATGCTCCACTGTATTATGTGTGTGTTGTATTTGTATATGCTTTTTATGCTTCGAATTGAGGCATAGTTCTGGAAATTATCATTAAGACAGTATGAATGGTATGACTAGAAGAATATTCAACGCATAGTAAAGCAGGGAATCAAATAAATCAAACGAAGGAGATAATTGCAATGGAAAATGTAGTGTAAGAAATTTTGTCTAAAAATGTATTTTAATTGCCTATAAAAGGCGAAAATGCTTCATGATGCATATTTTTGTTTTTGGGATCTGGCAACGCTAATAAAGAAAATCCGTGATGGAATTGAATAAACGTGGGAGCATGAAACCTGATATGTATGCTCTTTGCCTTTTAATTATGCTGTATTTTGAATTTAAAAAAATATTTCTTGAACCGTGATTACATGGAAATTTGAATTTATCGTTTATTATACGGACTATAAGAAACTGAATAAATTTTGCAGAGTAGTAGAACTTAATAAAATTGAGAACTTGGCTGAAAATTAATTTCCTCCCTCACCTTTTTAATATCCTATATTTACGCAATAGATAAAATTGCTTTGTTTCCCATCTAAAAAAAAGAACTAGAATAGTAGATTTCGCACCAAAATGCATCATCATTAACTAAAATTTCTGGCTTAGGTAGGAATTAGTAATTGTTCTTGATAATTAATTGTCCGTTAGTGAGAAAATCGCATGTTACATTGTAAGGATTTAATTTATTCTAATCAATTATTTTTAGGTTTTCTTTCCTTTCCCCCCTGATTTCAGTTTCCTGCCGAAATATAAATTTTTAATGATGTAGATGCAAATCTAAACGTGTTTCGGGAGCAGTATTTAAGCTGCGTTGCATGAGTTTGAAAAGAGTAGTAGCGGAATTAGTTCCGATGTTTATGTTGCGAGTTTGAAATTAGCTTTTTAGTCGGTGTTCGATACCTTTTAAGTTTATACTAATATTTCAGGCTCAGGCTTGTGTGTGCAGCCAATTTAGTGTTTAATTAAGCTAAGAGCCGTACTTATTCTCCAAAGACAGCGAAAATTCCCGACTTCGTCTTCTTTGTAGTGCCCACGTTGTATGTTACCAAAAAGAACACGTAGACTCCACAACATTTCATGAATACATTGCTTACAAAAACTTTTCATTATATTAAGCGGTATAATAATTTTAAGGGTATTTATTAAATGTAATAAGTAACTGATGCTATATATTTCTTATCGAGAATTTATATTAGTATGAAAACTCGGTTTTATAACAGATATAAAATCTACGAACGCTTAGAATGCAATAGTATATATCTATCTGGAGAGATTATTTGGCAGGAGTTATTCTTTAACGAAATAAATCCAAAATTAATATTTTTAATCAATAAACGATTTTCCGTTAGGCATTAGAAGAGCTTACCAGCAGCCTCGTAAAGCGTAGGTAACCAGTCCGTGACGTGCATAAGTTGATTTGAAGTTCTGGATTCTCTGAGACCTAAGAGTGGGCTCCATAGAACTGCTGGTACTCGAATGCCACCTTCGAAAGCAGTCCTTTTTCTGCCTCGAAGTGGGTAGTTAGAGGCATATCCATTTTTTCTAACAGAAACCTCTCCGCCATTGTCAGATGCGAAAACTATGATACTGTTTTCCAATATGCCTTTCTCATATAAAGCTTTAAATATACTTCCTACTGAATCGTCCAAGGCGGAAACCATAGCTACAGGTCAAAACGAGAACAAGAAAACATTGCAATAGTACAGTTCTTGAAAGGATATTCTAGCTTCATATATTCAGTAACACAAAGAATACATTTAAGTGCTGTGCACGAAAGATTTTTTAAGCAAATTTTATTATTATCAAAATCTTTTAATAATAGTGAAATTCGAAAAGACTTTGTCCAGCAACACGACATGAGACAGCTTTACGGTATTGAAAAATTGTTAAATCTTAAATCCAAAATTTGCTCTTATATTTGGTTTACATTTAATAAATTTAGTCTTGGAATACGTTCTCTTTCAGCATTTTCATATTAAAAAAATTTGCACTGCGCTGTTAGACACCAAATAAAATTAATTTTTATTTAGACTTGAAAGGAGCGTTCAGACGGGCATAAGAGTGATCACTGTGATGTATGGGAACGTCAACTAACGACATGCATAGAGAGCGCTAACTCTCAATCTGAGAGGCACCAAAAATTTAGTTTTCTATGAGGGAGACCTAGAAAAAGGTCAGAAAAGAGGAAGGCTTTTGGAAGCCGTTAATGAATACGAAATTAACCTGTAATAATTATATGTATAATGTAATCTGGAAAACCCAGATTTTGTGCTTTGTAAATTAGGGCGTCCATCCAGACACGATCAAAAGCCTTAGCTATGTCGAGAAAAATGACACCAGTATGTCTCTTTTGTTCACAACCCTCTAAGATATGCTTCTCAACTATATATAGCTGGTGTGATGTAAACAGGTTCGGTCTAAAGCTGAACTGATATCTGCTTTCCGTGATTCGTGATTGTGACACAGGTCTCTATCGCAGATACCAAAAGTGAGGAGTCATCAGTGGAAACAGTTCCAAGGTGCCAAAAATTATGCCATAAAACTAGCAAAATTTAGTGCAAATTGCATTCAGGATCAAAGCGGAAATGAGGATAAATTAGTTGCGGGTCAAAGTTCGGAAGCCGGTATTTTTAGAGAACAGCATAAGGAATGTGACATGTCACGCGATATTTTTAAAGAGTTACAAAGAAAGACAAATGGATACATTTTAATGGATGATTTGATCTATCATATAAAAAAGATCTCTGGAGAACAGGCTAATCAATTAGCAGTGCCTAAAGTTAGAAGAAAACACATTTTAAAATTAGCACACGAATCTATTTTGGCGAATCATTTAGGGATGAGAGAAACAAAAGAAAGGATTCTTTACTCATTTTACAGGCCAAACATGTCGCGAGATATAGAAGAACACTGTAGAACTTGTAAGGAATGTTAATTACAAAGTAGAGAAAGAACCGGCGATCGTGTACCCACAATCCCAGTTCAGAGGCCTGAATTTCCATTTGGCACAGTAAATATAGATATAATCAGTCCAGTTGAAAATCCAGCAGTGTGTAAGCACAAATATATACATACTGCGTTTAGTCGACCAACGTTTCTAGCCAGAAGCTGTTTCTAGTCAGAAGCTGTCCCTTTGAAAACAATTACGGCAAAATCAACATGCGATGCATTATTATAAATCTTTAGGAGAACGGGTATAACTCGGGTAATACCTAGTGATCGAGGTACCAATTTTGTTTCAGAATTAACACAAGAATTTCGTTCTAGATTAGGAGCAAGGTCCTAGATTTGTAACGCCAGGGCATCCACAGAGTTCAGGATTAGTTGAACGATGCAACCAAGTTCTAAAATGTATGCTGCATCATATCATTCGAAACGACTGTAAATATTGGGATAAACACATGCTATGTCTGTTATTTGCTTATCGAGAAATCCAAATTGTATTATTGGAGTATCCCCATTTAAATTAATGTATGGAAGAGAGGCTAGAGGTCCGCTGACAATATTAAAATCGACGTGGTCAGGAGAAATTCCACTACCTGTAAAATTTTGTTAAATCGCTGTTGAGGGGAAAAAATGAATTTAGAAAGAGAAGAAGAGCAAGCATCTATGATAGAATTGAAGCAAGGTGAATATGCAAGATATGCTAATCGAAGAGCAATATATATAAAGAATTCAAACCGGGAGATCAAGTGTATCTACTGATTCCACATTCTAGTAATAAATTATATGCCAGATGGGCAGGAACACCTGCAGTAAAAGTAGCTCTTTGTAATCCATATTCTTATAGAGCAAAACTGGCAGACGGAACAATAGGGAGAGTTCACATAAATAAAATCAGAAAATTTAATCCAAAAGTACAGGGCCCACCAGCGGCTGAGTGGTAACGTCACTGAACACTGATAGTTCGGTCCGAGGTTCGAATACCGCGAACGGGCTGGCTGCGTGGGCGTTTTCGTGGTTTTCCCCATGTGTAACGTGTATACAAGCCAGTTTCCTTAGAAAGTCCGCCACGAAGGCATCCCTCCCTTAAGGCAGATAGTCCTCGAGTGCTTTACCGTTATCTAATAAAACCAAAACCAAAACTAAAAGTACAGGCGGTAAGTGTAATATTTGAGAATGAAGAGGAACTCGGAGAAGTCCCTCCTACACCCAATGCGAATGCCAAATAGGATCATTTTCATCTTTGCGAAGTGGACTTAAACCAGTTTGACGATGATAAAATAAGGAACTTATTAAGAAAAGATGACAAATTATTTACAAATAAAGTACAATTGACACAGTAGGAGAACATAAAATAAGATTAAATGACACAGAAAGAAAGAAGCCATACATTTATCGAATCCCGGAAGCATTGAAGTCGCAAATAGACAAACAAATCGGAGAAATGTTGACAGTGGGTCTGATAGAAGAAACCAATGCGGAAATTTCGTACCCTAAATTTTCTGTATCATGAGAAAAGCTGGTACGCTTCTCCTATGATTAGACTTTAGATCCCTAAATGAAGTAACGAAAACCAGACGATTTCCCTATGGAAAATCCCAAAGCACTCTTATTTCATATTGGGAAATCCAACTTGATATCAACCATCGATTTGTTCAAGGGATATTGGGCCATACTTTGGAAAGGGAAAGTCAAGAATTAGCATACTTCAAGTCACATCGAGCTCAGTATCGATTTAAAGTCACGCATTTTGGGCTACGCAACGCTGTTGCAACATTTCAGAGCATGATAAACCAAGCACTTGCTAAATACAAAGATTTCGCTCGAGCCCACGTCAGTGACATAGCAGTTTATTCAAAGAACTGGAATGAACATTCAGTACATTTCGTCATCATTTTTTTTTTTTTTTTTAAATTGTTAGAACTAAAGTTTTCAGTAAATCTCAAGAAATGTTCCATTGCTAAGACTCACATTAAGTCTCTGGAAATTATCATTTATTCCGGAAGCCATCGGACTGATCCAGAGAAGTTGGAAGCTATCCAGAAACTAGCTAGACCTCAAACAAAGAAGCAGTTGAAAGGTATTCTAAGCCTGTGTAGTTATTATAGAGATTGCATTCCATATTATGCAGAGACAGCTTATACATTAACAGAGCTCACCAAAAGAAGAAGTCTCGAAGAGCTGTCGACAGGAAAACACGACGAAGCATTCGAGGAGTTAAAGAAATGTCTTGTAGAGGCACCCAGGTTTAAACCTCTGTTCCAAGGTTACCTTTTACAATTCAGTGTGATGCATCTTCAACAGGTGCCTGCTTATCTCAATGGAGAAACGAAAAGATATACCCGATCAGTTATGCTAGCCAGAAATTAATCAAAATATAACAGGCGTGACGAACCAGCGAAAGAGGAGCCTGTGCTGTGATTTTCAGCCTGAAGTAGTTTGAAAACATGGATCTTTGGATCACCCGTGAAACTGATTGCGGATCACAATCCGTTAACATTCATTACAAAGGACGCACCGCAATATTCTAAGCTACAAAGACGGGTTCAAGTGTTACAGAAGTATGATACTACGATTTCGCATCGCCCAGGTGCTAAGTTGAACAAGGCCGATGCGTTATCCAGTCTGGATAACATCGAGTGACCAGTGTGAAGGTAAAAAACTCTTTTAGACATTTATGAATTTATTGTTATTTATTTGTGTGTTTTCTTTTTCAGCTATTATATGACACATTAAGTTATTCTACAGTATTTTATAATTATTTTGATTACTAATTTTTAATCATTTGTGTTACAGATTTAGAAGAAGTCTCACAGTAGAAGTATTCTGTATAAGTATTTTATTATATTTCTTTCAACTTCTTTTTATTATATATCTTTCAACAACTTTATTAATGATTGAATTGTTGACGTTGATAGGTAAGTAACTCTTTTATTTGACATCACCATTTTTTTGTCATATTTTCGATAGGCTTTCACCATATTTCAATCTTGGATGCGGGATATGATGCATGGGTGACGTTAACTAACGAAATGCGTAGAGGGCGATAACTCTCAATCTAAAAGGCGCCAGAAGCTTAGTGTTCTAGGAGGGAAACTTAGAGAAAGGTCAGTAAAAAGGGTAAGGCTCCTGGGAGCAGTTTATGAACAAGAAATTAGTCTGCATTAATTAATGTACATATTTCAGTTATTAATATTGTAGTTTTAGTGATCTAGTGTGTATTTTTTGTGTGTAATAAACATTTAAAAAATATGAAGAAGCATTAATAATATCTCTTTGAGGTGGCAAAAAGACAGTATAAGTCATTAGCTTCGTTTAAACTTGAGGAACAGCGTTTAAGTCGCAGCCAATCAAAAAAGGTAAAGTTGCGCATGCGTGAATCGGCAGTTGACACAAAAAGACCATCGGCCGAATGTCAGTCCATGTTTATTTCATTGTGACTGATCGGTTTATATACCAGCCTGTCGTAAATTTTAATAGTTATAACATTTAGACAAAATCCCTATGCCATTATTCGTGACGTAGCAATGGCTGGTTACCGTTAGAATGTTCACACGAGGGCTTTGCGGGCACAAGTGACATAAGCTGAATTTCATTACTAAGGCAATCAGATCTTCCAATGTCACAGATATATAAATGTTCTAGCTGTTGAACGCGATGCCAACCTGATTTTTTACGCAAGCTTAACCGACCAGTCACAGCGAAGAAAACTCGAATTGA